CCACCCATCCAGCCATCCACCCATCCATCCATCCATCCATCCATCTGCCCATCCACCCACCCACAGTCTGTCCATTCTTCCAGCCATCCACCCACCCACCTATATATCTGTCTCTTTGCTTGTCTGTCTCTGCAGCTTACATCCCAGGGATGACTCTGTCCTGTAGAACACACTCGGCAACATCGTCAGACATTTCCTGTTGTCACCTTGGCCTGGGCTGCTCCTGGCCCCGGAGGTGGGGCCCAGAGATGCTGCTCAGCATCCCACAGTGCCCAGCACTGCCCACAGAGAACCAGTGGCCCCTGAGGTCATGAGCGCATGGGTGGAAATTGGGCAGAAGATGACCTCTCACTCACGATGGAGCCGTGGCTGGGAACTTACTGTACAATATCAGGAATGGGACTGCTGCAACAGCCCATCTCTAGGTCCCTGTGAATGGTCTCAGGACACCTTTCCTGCAGGAGGGACCTTGGCCATATGGTGCACACACACTGCACCCTGTGGAACATTTCTGTTTCTTGCTGGCGAGCTGGGTGGGAGGATCTGGCTACAAAATTCTTCTCGCTGCTGCTATTTCCTGTGGCCCTGTGGTACAGCCTTTTGGGGCTCAGGCGGCCTTCATGGCCATCACAGATCTGTGAACCTGCCTAGCACTGGAAGGGGAGGGAGAGGTGGGCAGAGCTGCTTGCCCTCCCCACCTGGAGAGCTTGTCTAAGATGGTCCCCATGGGTGCCTTCCCCATCTGGTCTCCGGGGGAGGCATCCCCAAGACATTGAATAGCTAACACTTGCAGTTCCCTCCTTTTTTTTTTATTAGTAAGATTTTTCAAATAATGGGAAATAGAAATTCAGCTGGACCCAGAAATTCGGCTATCCCCTTCTAGATATCTTCCTAAATGAGTTAAAGACATGCTATCACAGGGATCCATGCTTACCTGTGTTTATAGCAGCACAGTTCTTAGTAGCTAAATCTTGGAACTGGCCTATACAGATGTCCTCCAGCAAAGGAATAGATAAAGGGAGTGTGGTGTTCACACACAATGGAGTACTACACGGCCACGAAAAAGGATAAACTTGAGTCACGTGTGGGAAAATAGATGCACCTTGAGATCATATTATCAAGCAAAATAAATCAGGCACACAAGCTTCACATCAGTATCTCTTATGTGAGAAACACACTGTAAATAAAGAGCAAAAT